AAATTAAGGATTTACCTGTTACCATGTGGATATAATACACTTTGGCAATATAAAATTAACCTTGATAAAACGAGTCTTTTATTATTATTATTATTATTATTTACGTTTGAGGTGGATCTTTTAAAAACACCTTTTTAACGAGCATCACTAACCCAGCACCATGAACTGCATAAAATGTTAATATTACTATGGAATTATTTTCTAAAATTGCAACTGTTCAGAGATTAATATTTTATTCAGCAGGTCTGAAAATTTTCAGTAAGTAGACTGACCGCTTAATGGAGTGGCATGTTTGTATGTAAGTTAAATTAGCTAGTAACCGTAAAAAATAATCGGTAAAAAATAAATAAAATTTGTTATTGTTATTTACTACGCCAAACTTACTTTTAGCACAAGATCACAATTATAAGCCACCCAGTGAGGATCGGACACACATATCAGTGACTTTCCCAGCGCCATAATGCAGCTTCCCAATGCCTTTTCTATAAATTATTTTCATGGTACTTTGTTTGGATGAACTCTTCGCCATGGTATGAATTTAAGCGCAGTACTAGATTGGCGGTAAGGTCTCATCAATTTACAGTTGAACTGGCTTGATGTAACCGTAAGTTCTATGCTAACAGTTTATTTTTTCGGAATTATCGCTTGTGGGTCTCTTTTTCGGTTTCATGCTTTCCAACCAATATTGTTCTTCAAAAATTTATATGCAATATCAATCGTTATCTACTGAGATCTTTTTTATTCCTCTCTCTTTTTCTATTGTTCTAGCTCTTTTCTTTTCTTCTTATTCTTTCACACTCAGTAACCTCCTTGTGTCTTAGTTGCTTTATTGCCTCGAGTGGGGTGAAATGATTAAAAAAACCCAAAAAAAACAAAAACAAAAAAAACAAACAAACAAACAGCTCGATAACAATTAAACAACAAAGGACAGTTAATTATGTTTTTTTTCTGTTTTCTTCCTTTGAAAAGAAATATGCTAGAACCTGTCAGGGTCGATAGGTGCAACAATTTTATTATTTATTTATTTTTTATTTTTTTTTTTTACAATTGTTTCTGTTTGGGCGGTAGTTATAAAAGTGTGGTGTTCCCAAGATCTCACCCAACTACACTTTTTCTGTATCAACCATCGTGGCATACCAGTGACAAGTGTTTCTTTAGTCGAAATTATCTGGTGGTGGTATGGAGCAAAAAGAAACGGACACGTTTTCAAGTTAAAAGTTTAAGACATCTACTGACAAATGGAAACAGACGCTGAAATAAGCGTGAACAGCAAACACTGGAAATGATATTTTATGTAGAGATGGAGTTAAAAGAAGAAGTAGTCGAAAAAGACAAAGAAGAAGAAGAAGTAGAAGACGAAGAAGAAGAAGAAGACGAGTAAGACGAAAAAGAACTTGAAGACGAAGACGAAAAAGAAGACGACGACGACGACGAAGAAGAAGAAGGAGAAACTATTAAATTTATTGCAAATGTACAATAGAATCGCACGTGTTCGTTTTTGAATGCGTGGTTAGCGTCGCGGTTATACGTGCAAAAAGTGGAATGAGTGCAGCTAGTTCAAATTCCGGCCTAGGCTGTTGCGTTCACTTTCGCACTTATGCACCTCGGAAAGGCATGGATCCACCGCTTCTTTCATCGACTATGGGTTAAATAGTAGGATAGACGGGGATTTCTAGCCTTGAATAGTAGCCAGGTTACGAGAAGAATGTCATAGTAATTCACTGATAAGAAAAGTAATCCATCAATTTCTTTCTTTTTTCAGTCATTACTCTCTCACTCGATCTCAATCTGTCCATATCTATCTCACTCTGTTCATATCTATCTATCTATCTATCTATCTATCTATCTATCTATCTATCTATCTATCTCTGTTCATATCTATCAATTTCTTATTTTCACTCACTACCCTGTACGTCTATCTGTCTGTCTATCTACCTCAGCCTGTTCATCTAAGATTATCTATCTATCATCTATCTATCTATCTATCTATCTATCTATCTATCTACCTAGCTACCTACCTACCATGAGCTATGTTCATTTACGCCCTGGATGGGCGTAACATGTAAAAGGAATATTGAGATATGAGCGTAAACAACAACAGCAACAACATCAAGACCAAAGTATCCAGACATTGCCCCGTAAAGTTAAAACATTAAGATACTTGACCTTGAGAATTTGGCGCTCAAACTGACGACCGGTGAAGGCGCGAAAACTTACATTTGTCAAAAAAAAAAAAAATATATATATATATATATATATATATATATATATATATATAAACGTGTACGTACTTGCAGACCTCGAGGTACAAACGAAAGAAAGCGAAATTTTGGGAAAACAACAGGAGCTCGCCCGGGAACCGAGAAAAGCCTCACCATGAAGGTGAGGCTTATACATCAGAATAGTTAGTTTCTTCTTCTTCTTCTTGCCATGTTCCTTCAGATCATGGGAGATCATGGCTCTCCACAACTTCCTGTCCTTTATCTTTTTACTATCTTTCCTAAACTCTGTTCCGCATACATTTACATTAGCCCTCTAGGTAGGTTAAGCGCTGTTTTCCTATGTCCCTCTTGCCTTCAATACGACCTGTGAGTGTCAATTTTTCTAAGCACTCTTTCCTCATTATCTGCCCTAGAAATTTCAATTGTCTCTTCCTGGTGTTATGTATAAGTTTCCTTTTTGTTTTCATTTCCTCTAAAACTTTATCGTTGCTAACATCTTCTGTTCATGGTATCCTCAGCATCCTTCTGTAGAACCACATTTTTGTTTCCTCAAGTCTCTTCTTCATCTGTGAGGAGATTGTCCAACATTCACTGCCATATAGTAGGACTGATATTACATTACAGTTCAGTGCCCTTTTTTAATGAAATTTTCCTGTTTCTTAATATGTTACTTATCTTTTAGAAGGCATCTTTTTTTTCTTTTTTTTTTTTTTTTATCCCAACGCGTCTTCGGATTTCAGTGTCACACTTTCCGTCTTCTATTAAAACACTTTCTAGATATTTAAATTTTTGTACTTGTTTGATTGTTTGATTTTGGCATTTGCATTGTGCAATTTGCACGTTCGTCTCTTCTTTTTTGCTTACAACCATGCATTTTGTCACAGTTGATGTTTAGTCCTTTCTTTTTACTTTCCTTCACTATATTCTGTAGGAGTCCTTGAAGCTGTGACGTGTAGAGATTTGGTGGTGTTTGATGATGCCCTGGGCCAAACTCCTTGATTGTATGACCTTAAGACTCAAGTAGGGGTCCCTATAGGGCCTAATACACGTGAGAAAGGGTAACATTTTAAATATGTAAAAACAGATGAAACATGAAATAAGCACTTAATTCAAATTGAATATAAACTAATATTTTATTTCATTCTTTGATTGGATGCCATTCGGATATGAATGCCCGGGGCCCTCACACCCTCTGCCCACCCCCTTTTGCACACTACGGATCTGGAGTTTGCCTTCTGCGCCCGCTGTCGACACTATTGTTTTTTTAATGTTGTTAAAGATTGTGTTCACCAATAATGAATCCTGGGAGGCATTCTAATGCTCTCTGAATCAGCTCACTGTAAATATTGAATAGGTCCGGTGAGAAGATACACCCTTGTCTTAACGGACCCACAACACTTGAATCAAAATTGGATGAATTGGAAAACCGAGGAAATAGTTAAAACTACTCAGACCATAATGGTACTGGTACCTGCGAGAGAGTATGCTGTGAAGAATGCTGTAGAACCCAGACTTGTTGTCACTTGATCCCAACTACGATCACCAGAAACTTTAAGTAGATTCACATCTTCCATCATCAGTGTTCTATGCTTGGTTTAACATGACACTGCTCGGTGCAAAATAAGTTACTTGACGGCGCCCATCTCCTCTCCTTGTAACATGTGATAGGTTTGGTTTGGTTTATTTTGTTTTACGCCATATCAACCTTTAATGCCGACAACATTTTTAGGATAGATTCGTATGAATAGAATATGTATTCTTTGGTTTAGATTGATTTGGCTTATTTTGTTTTACGGTATATCAACCTCAATGGGTTATTTAATGCCGACAAATTTTTTTCTTGTTGGTAATATTTTGTTTTGTCAAAAATCAGTTTCTGGTAATATTTTTCCTTCAAAATTGTATTGCTGGTAATAATTTTTTTCGAAAACGTGTTGCTGGTAATAGTTAACTATTTGCCCATAGCTGGGACCCTATCAGGTGCTACCACCCCGGGTCAGGGTGGACCTGGGAACACCAGCAATTAAGAGGTGGTTCCACGCTTAACAAAACTTCCTGATTAGAGGCCTTGCTGCTGGCCGTAGTTTATCGTCTTACCCAGGACGCGGATGTAGTTTAACGTCTTACCCAGGACGAAACATTTGATTGGTTGTAATCCACCAGAATCTGTTGGGATGAATATTCGAATAATTATAATAATAATTACCGAGGAATTTGCTGGAGACTTGAGGAAATTTGATGCGAACGATAACTACCAGATTTATTCTGTATATAACAGTCATATACGCAATCTACCTATATAAGAGCCAGATCAGGCCGAAAATGGAGTACTTTTGCCATATTTGGGCAGGAGCTGTTCAGACCTCACTTTCCAGTCTTGATAGAGTTCAAAAGCGTCTCCGAGTCCTTGTTAGAGAAGAATTATTTTCAACCTCTTTCTCTCTCACAGGCGGGATGTGGTGATTCTCTCATTGCTCTATGGCTACTAGCATAGAAAGTTCTCAGACGAACTACAATCCTTGGTTCCGCCAGGTCTACCCTTCAGGATGTTTCCTCGATCACTACAATCCTTAACCTGTTCTGTCTTGAGTCAACCGTTATCTCCCCCCCCCTATCGATATAAACTAAGCCACCACAACCACCAACGTAACCTTCTATTTCGAGTGGCCCTCGGCCCTTGTACAGCGTGAACCTTGCTGTAAGAAAAAAATGCCCTGATACTGCACTTTGCAGCAGCTCAAGTTGCCTCTTTATAGTTGGCACACTCATGACTATTTCCAAGAATCTCTCCGCCTCGCAAGACGTTGTGGGGATATCTGACATCATTGGAACTGCAGAGATGGCAGCACTGCTTGGAAATAGCATATGTAAGTTTTGTGTCTTTGGTAGAAGCTTAGATATGGTTCTCATAGCTTCTAACCTTCATTGATTCGACACGTTTTCTCTTGGGCTATAAATATTTATAAGATAAGGTATTGTAACTATTTACACTATTTACATCATTCGGACTGTTGTCCTCATATTTACTGTCATATTCATGACGTTTCGGCCATTGTACGCTTTGAGCGTACAATGGCCGAAACGTCATGAATATGGCAACAGAGATGAGGACAACAGTCTGAACAATTCAGAAATATAGACAGATTCTGAAGAAGGCTGAAGCGTACAATGGCCTAAATGTCTTGAAAATGGCAACAAAGATGAGGACAATACTCCGAACAATGCAAATAGCGTAAATAGTAAATATCTCGTTCACTTCAACAGCTTTGTCAGTAGCCAGTTGGGTGTCTCTGTCCATGAGGAGTAGTGAGGGGTGTCATAGCCGTAGTTTTGAAAGGGTAGTTTTTTTTAAAGGTTAAAAGATGAGGCAGGCAAAGCGACTTAGGAGTTATAACTAGATACTTGGGGACACCTTCAATTGGACTGGGTTACCCGACCTGAAGTTATTTCTGATTGGCCTCACCTGCAAAGTTATGCGTTGCTTTTCTGTATTATCAAGACCTGTCACCACATCGTGTACATTTGGTTGTGCTGCATGTGCCTTATCAGACTGGGTGTCACGATGGGTACATTGGGTTTCGTATATTTGTACTCCAGTGTCATTTTGTTCATCTGCTGCTCTCTCCCGCTCTTTCTACAAACAAAAATGCCTTCTCTTATACATATAATGACTTACTAAGCATAGCTTAGACGTGGCACAAAATCGGAAGTAGGGAGCACCCATCGTGGAGCGAACTCACTGTTCAGTAGTAATTGATCGAACCCTGGATTTGATTAGTAAAAAGGTACCGACAATAATATTAGAAAGATCCCTGGTAAAACCTGTTTACAAAGGATTAAAAAAATGCCGTCTGTGGAACTCATTGGTGGGGGTATTATCAATCCAAAGACAATATAAACAAGGTATATGTTATGATCACTAAACGTCACAATTTAGGCTAAATATATGTTTGCTTAAATACCTTGTCTTACTTCAGGTCAGGTAAAGAACCAATAAGCGTATGTATTAAACAAAAGTCATAAATAAATAATAATAATAATAGCTTTATCTATGTAAAATGTGTGTGATCTGAGTTGGTTTTGTTTGTTTTTACAAAAATGATCAGTGGAAAATGTCATGAAGCCATTTATGATCTTAGGTCTCTGATGGGACCCAGAAGGAAATGTGTGTACAACAGAAATCAAAAGAAATAATAATAATAATAATAATAATAATAATGCAAAAAATTCTACTCACAAGTACACCTCACACATTATGAAGAGCTTTATCTATGTAAAATGTGTGATCTCAGTTTTTTTTTGTTATTTTTAAGATCAATTAAATGACACATTACAGGATACAAAGCAGGAAGCATAACATACGTAAATAATAATAATAATAATAATAATAATAATAATAATAATAATAATTGCTTTACTTGTACGGAGAACAGAGATAGTCGTTTTTACCCGCTTTATTTTTTTGTGCTGTCAGATCTGCGAGCTGTTTCGGATTGTACAAAAATGGATGAATTTATCAATGGGTGAATTTATCAATGGACGCATTTCCTCGGCTGATGCGAAAATCGGATTACAATTATTTTTCATCAGTTTCTAGCTGTGTCGGCGTATTTACCTCAATGGATTCTTTTGAATGGAATTTTGCCGCCCTTACCAAAGGTAAGAAAATCTTTCTTTTTGTCCTTAAGTTTTTTTTCTTCTGCAAAACACCAGTTTCTGTTCGATCACCGACGTTAAGCAGCGTCAAGCCCGGTCAGTACTTAGATGGGCGACTGCTTGGGAACTATACTGTAAGCAACTTCCTATAATCCGAAGTAGGTTTCGACTTGTGAATAACCCATAAAGAGTTGATAGACCGTAAAAAAGCAAATCATCGATCAATCAAAACCTATGTTGTTGAGTAGGGGTTTTATTTGATCGCTCGTGGGTATTAGAAAAATTGGTGGGACTGTATAATAGGTCCTGTGATCAGAAATAATCCTTTTCTTCAATTTCTTTTTTATATTACTATAGATTAAGCACACCAGGTTACGGAAGAAAAATTATTATAATAGTTAAATGGGGGTCCAGTTTGCTATGTAAATGTCCTGTAAATTGCCACGCATCTACGGAAGCCAAAACAAAATTTGCTCATACCACGTGTTTTAAAAAATAAAAAAAAATAAAAATATTTTTTGAAAATTCGTAATCCGGGGGAAATTTTATCAAGAATCCCTCGATTAATGCGATTTAATCTTTATATACCAAAAATTCAATTAGTACATACATAATACTCGATTAGTGCGGTAAAACATTCTTCAGTTTAACCATAGTAATTGAAAACTGATTCTTTTTATAGTTACCGATGTACACATTAGCCACAATAATAGAGAGACTAGCAGTAGAGCCCAGCGTTGCCTGGGGATGTAACAGTAAGAGATAGATCAAGTATCGACCATCATAAAGACTGAAAAATAAAATTGACAAAAATTATTGTTTAAGGTTGACGGACACGCATGTCTTAATTAGCTTTTTTATTTTGTTTTTTTTTGTTTGTTTTTTTACGAATTGGTCAAACCCAAACTCAAACAAAAACATTGTTTTCAATCGTTATGAGTCTACCGATTGAATAGAATTTTATTATAAACAATTGTCTTGTAAATGGAATTTTAAAAGCATTCTGAATGTAAAAATAAAGAAAAAAGTGTGCAAGACAATAAGAAACACTACCTGCCAAAATAAGTGAAGTTTTGTTGAAATCGGTTGAAAAATGTAGGAAATCCGATCTCATATATAAACGAACACACACACACACACACACACACACATACACACACAACCTGGGTTTTATAATAAGTGTAACTCGATATGAGTTGTCCCCCTTTCATTCTGGCGACAGAATCGTGTTTTATCGTGTTTTCAAATTGATTTTGTGCAAAAACAATTGTGCTTTTCCAATGTTTGGCGCTGTCAGAACCACCGCAAGGTAATTTTACGTTGTCCTGTGAAGTTTTGTTGAAATCGGTTGAAAAATGTACGAAATGCGATCCAATATATAAACGTACACACACACACACACACACACACACACACACACACACACACATAATCTGCGTTTTATAATAACTAAGATTCATATATATACCTCAGAATAACGAATTTTCAAAAAATTGTACTTTTTAACATTTTATGATCGTATGAACATATTTTATTTTCGTTTCCATCGGGGATAAATTTAAAATGAATCTAAAAGCAAACTGGACCTCTTATTAACTTCTGTAAAATTTAATATATATATATATATATATATATATATATATATATATATATATATATATATATATATATATATTAATATCCGTGATCTGTAACGCAATATGAACAAAAATTATTTCTATCAAAATTGTCTATTGTACAATTCCACGGAACATTTGGATGACGGACTCACGATTTGGATATTCGTAGAACAAATAACCTATGAGGATATCAGTTACCATGGGAAAAGTTATGGTGATTTATCTAGGCGTAGTTTAGATGTGGCACTAATCCGAAAGTATAGAGCACCTAGTGTGTATTGAACTCACTACTCAATCGTAATTGTTTTAGCGGGACAAGCTTGCTAACCATTACATCATGTGGAAGTGCCCCCGTCAGAAATGTTATGAATGTAATCAAACACCATGACAGGTAATCTACGTGTAATGGCTGGCCGATTGTATCCGCGTATGCTTGTTTACTAGAGTTGCTAGCCAATCCCTGTAGCAGACACATTTGTGTTTGTTCGACAACCACAGCGCTCAGTTGTTTATACAGCTACTATGCAACTGAGCGGAACTTAGTTACATTTTCTGAGAGAGAGCGTATCTTCTGGCGTGATCAACAGTTTGAACCCTCAGTCACGATGACTTGAAATTTTGTGCTAAGAACTACCATCGACAATTTCGTCTAGACAATTTCACTCAAAAGGGTTGTGTCGAACAGGGATATAGTTAACAGACTTTTTTCAAAGGTACTGCACGCTGGGATTGTCTCTCTAATATCAAGAATTCACCTTCTTGACAAATCGACTATAGTGAAATTTGAACCCGTGTTTCATGGTTTGAAAGTAAACATCCTAACTATTCGGTCACTATAGCGTCTACAGGGTTGATATACGTGCTCACTTATTGCTACGGTCGAAAATAGGTTTTCTCGGGATAGAGTTGCAGTTCAGACTATTGCTCACTCTGTGTGTGTGCTGAGTCCGTAAACCTCCCCTGTCGAAATATGAGGGCCACTTCTAACAACACTAAGTGTTGCTGCGATTGTTTCCATAGCAAGTAGGCATTTATGAAGTGTACTTGTTAGTCCCGCTCGATTTTAGAATCAGAATTGTGCTTATCCGAGACTAATTGACAGCCAAAAGAAGGAAGGCCACTCTTGTATGCATTGGCGACTCTGTAGACTCCACTATGGGAGAATAAGGTCCATACCCACGTCGCACTTGATGTTACATTGCTGACTGTGGACACCTCTTTGGGAGAATAAGGACTATACCCTCACCGCACTTGATATTACATTGCTGACTGTAGACATCTTTGTGGAAGAATAAGGACCACAGGCCTGACCACACTTGTTTTAGTGGGTACCTTTTTGAGGAAAGGTGGTATGCTATATTATTCTGTACAGAAATGTATCGTAGAAGTTTCAGAAATTAGTGTACTCTCAATCTATTTTCGCCTTAATAAATTAATTGGTTTTTCAATCGGAATTGCATGTTTAGGTCGAAATTATGATCGGGTTCATTCCGATGAACGGCTAATGTGTTGCGCATTGTTTTAAAAATGACCCCCGCCCCTTATATTTATGTAATCTGTTTTTGTTCATATTTTTTAGATGTCTTTATCATCTATATATATATATATATATATATATATATATATATATATATAGAGAGAGAGAGAGAGAGGGGGGTGGATCCGTCGTCTTGCGATATATATATATATATATATATATATATATATATATATATATTCAACCTGAGCAGTGACACTGAAAACTTTTCGCCAGACGACGGATCCACTCTCTCTCTCTCTCTCTCTCTTTATATATATATATATATATATATATATATATATATATATATATATATATATATATATGTCACTGGGGATTAAAGGAAGTAGAGGATGGCAGAAACTGGCCCTTCTCAGTTCTTTGCTCTCTGTTGTAGAATTATGGTGGGGTCGCAATCTGTTACAGCATGACATCCATCAATGATATTGAAACCATTCTGAACACCGTGAATCGTATGACTCTTATGGAAAATGGATGAACAATCGATACTTTTATGGGTCACTCGTTTGTTCCTTTCGAAGTTTAGAGTTTCGAAACGAGCGGCAGCAGCTTGTGGAAAAGGCGTGTTATCAGTTGAACTGATTCACACAACGATGAAAGCACTGAGCACGAATGGGTCTTAAGAGGTGGAAATTGATCTTGAAACTAGCCGGCCTCTGGTCTATCTCAGGTGTGAGGAAGGCTGCAGTTAGACAACAATGAAGGCATTAGTCCTCGTTGCCAGGCATGGCCTCTTTCGGAAGTGCATTATCAATTTTGCTAGTTGCTAGTTGCAGGCCGCCTCTTACACCAATCACTGACCACTGCTCTTCATGTGAAATGAATTCCCTTGTATTAGTAAATATATATTCTTGTAAAATTTGTAGCCCCTAGCAATGACGTGATGGCCGCTGACTCGTTAATCGGTTATGACCATCGCTGACAAGTTTTTGATCAGGTGTTTTTAGCGACACTGAAAGACGAAAAAGAAAGAAAAATCACAAGGAAAAAAAAGCAAAAATAGAAAATAACTGAAGGAAACTAAAAAAGCTAAAGGCAATTATAAAAATAATGAAGAACAATGAAAATGAAACTTTTTCATTTGTAGTAATAGTAGTAATGATAGTAGTAATGATGTTAGTAGTAGTAGTAGCATTAGTAGTAGTAGTAGTTATAATCAGATGATTCCCGTAACCCATTAGAGACATAGGAGCAATAGATGTTCCGCAGCCTCAATTCCATTGGTGTACCTAAGGTATGATAGACTGACGGATTCTAACCCACTTCAGGCTGGGTTTGAATTGAGAGTTTTCATTCTTTCGTTCTTTCTTCTTTATTCATTTTGTTTGTTTGTTTCTTACTTTTTATTAGCTTTCATCTCAATTCCTACATCACAGTTGTCGAAGTTTGCAAATTATTTGCAAAGCTTATTGCAGATGTGGAAAACTAAGTTGTTTTGTACAGGGTCTGGCCTGTTTTGTAAATTCTGTTCAGCATGCTTCTGGTTTTTTTTGTGACGGTTTTTGTCTTCATCCATTTCCCAAAGTCTGACCAAATAACTATGCATCAAATGATTTTTTTTAAAAAGGCTTCTTGGTCAGGCTGAAGACTTTTCAGAACCTTTTGTTTTCCCTTGATGGAATCAATGCCGACATTATGCATGAATGAACATCTCCCCGGCTTTCAATCCAGATAAATATTGTGAACTGGTCAGAGGCTCATGTGCGCAGAGACCCTATGACCTCACCTAGTCATGGGATTGATGATGATGAATACACAACAGGTGAGATTATATAATTAAGCAAAGAAAAACTTGTAATGACAGAGAAATGGTTCACAGTGTGCCACATCATGTTTAAAACTCTGAAACAGCAGGCCATTAATTGATGTTTCACTGGAGATCAGCAGAAATCATCAACTGATGATTTAAACCTTTTATCCAACGCGGGCATTAGTCACTCAAGATTCTAGATGACTAATTGGCAACCTCC